CCTCAGGAACAAGCAAGAATTGTTCTTTACATCTCAGATAACTGGATACAAACATCATCATCATTGTACATTGGATTAGAAATCTCTCATCGCTACAGATTGTGGCTGCATGATTCCTGACACATTACAAACACTAGGTAAGGCAGCGGTACAGTACATAGATCATTCGCTACCTTTATTCTAAGCAGCATTACATGTAAGTGCAGAATTCAAACATCAATTGGACTTGGTCTATAAATTGCAGTTTTAAGTGTCAACAGCTTGTGGGTGGAGCTAAAGCAGAGTCACCTGATTAAGAGATATTGCTTCTCAATATGTGAACAAACAGCCATGTGTCCTGGTTCAGCACTTTAACACAAAGCAGATCTATACTCGAGGTTAGCAGTAAGTTCAGGATGTCATTATAAAGCTCAGGTTTTAGTCTTGGTAGAATGGCCAAAGACGGAGAGAAAGGCTAAAAATCGGCAACTCTCCTGGAGAAAATCCTGCCATCATCTCCCTTCATTGCTGGCTTCATGCACAGACACTTGGTCATGTGATCTCTGCTGGAGGGGAGGAGCAGAATTTAGATTGACTGACCCTCCTCTTCAAAGATCAGGTGGCCAAGTGCCTAGGCTTTCATGTATTGCCAGCACTGAAGAGGATCAGGAGCAGCAAGTTCAGCAGTAAAGGGATTGAGCCCTAGAGGGAGCGTAAAGCATCACTTTCTCCAGGGAAGACATTTTAGCTTTCCCAGTCCTTTTTTTTTTTTAACCTCAACTGGCTTAATTTTAGATTTAAAGAAGAACTTGTGGACATTTTTGTGGCTACCCCCGTACTGCAAGTGTTAACTGCTCGTTTGTGTCTAGGTTAAAAAACAAAACAAAGTTATACTCACCCAAAGCTCTGAGCCGCTTCTTCTTAGACCGCTCCTTCCAAGATCTCTCCCTCTCCTCTGCAGCCGTCTAAGGTCCCGTAAATCATCACGTCTATACACAGTGTAATGACATGAGGATGCCGAGAAAGATTCCAATGCTGTAGGGAGGGGAAGACTGGAGGGAGCTGACCAGCTCAGAGCTTCGGGTGAGTATCATCTTGTTATTTTAGCACCTAGACACAAACGAGCACTTAACCCTTGCAGTGCACGGGGGGGGGGGGGGAGGTTGTAGACCCACTGCAAGGGTTAAGTGCTTGTTTGTGTCTAGGCATTAATAATCTACTGGCTTCAGCTGGTTCCACACAGTCTGGTCCTCAGCCTCCATCTTGCCTGTGCTGCAACGACTACATCACCACCCCCCATCAGTCTATTCAGAGCATGGAAGTCACCATTATGGTCTCCAGGAAGGAGGGTGAACGCTGAGCACTAGAGAGATGAATGAAAAACACTGATAGAGCTTTTACTCACAACATACCACTCAAAATGTATTCTATAGTGTTGGCTGTAACTCTATTTTATACAGATCGAGTATCAATTTTTGTACTATTGATGTTATCTGTACTCGAGGGAAAACTTCAAAGCTAAAAGCCTGATTATAACTCCCTCACATAGCGCCGGCTGTTACAATACATTGCTGACACGTGACATGTAACCAATGGCTTTATGTGACCTTTCATGACTCAAAATGACCTTCTCCTAATATACATAACAAACTGCATTCAGATTCTGCAGATTATTTCACTCGGATGCAACAACTTGGGCCATTAGAACCTGAATTTGTCTCTTCTACGCTGGATTAGTCGGATATATTTGGTAAGTTGTCATCATTTGGCTAGAATGTAGAAATCAGCAATAGGAGAAAATCACGATTTTAAAGCCTCACAAGTTTCCTGATATTATGTAACATTCAATTCCATTGCATGATTTCAAATACTAATTTATCACATCTTGTATATCGCACACACTTGCCTACAGGGCTCAGACTCGGCACCTCTGCTGCCTTTTTGGCTGCTGCATATCATTGCATGCATATGAAAGACCTGATCACCACGATGGGTTGGATATCACATTTTAGTTCTTCGGCGAGGACTGGGTCACCCTATGGGGCGATAAGGAAGGCATCCAACCTTCAACACTCATGGTACACCGCAGTTTTCCAGCTTTGAAAATCTCTGCAGCAGGGTTGACTCTTTCCACTTTTGGAGAAGAATGCATCGACCACAGAGATTCCATCGGCCGAGTGGCAATGCGGCCCTGGCACAATCGAGGACAGGCAGCTGTAGATATCTGAAGCCACCATAGGTTGAAGGTGGGTCAAATCAATGGCATCACGTAACTCACAGGGACTCTTGTGGGGGCAACACTGCACATGAATTGCCACGCTAAACCTGCATTCCATTACAAAGGCTGCAGCAGTAGTGAGAATTCAGAGCTGGTTAGCCCACTACTGAAGTCCTTGGGAGACAAAAGAAGTAATTGGGTAATATAGCCACCTAGTTGCCACTTCTAGCCCTTATACAAGATCTGGGTGTTTACCCTTTAAGAGCTGATGTATAAAAGCCGACGGAAAGTGGATGCGTTGTCCATGGAAGCCAGAATACAGTCATGTTATCCGCCCAGACTACAGTGTGAGCGAACACTGGTTACCAAGCAACTATATCTTTTCCATCTATTTCTATAATTGATGCATTGAGCAATCTGTGACTGAACCACAACCTGCAAAATGTCTGCCAAAACATTCTAGAAGTTGCAGTTCCTCAATCTAGTGCAGCCCAGGTTACCCGAGCCTCATTCAGCCCTGCCATAGGATCCCGGCAATCAGGATGTACAAGTTTGTTAAACAATGGATTCAATTACAAAAACACTAGACATAAAAATCTAAATGCTGCGATTTGATTTTGTGCGTTGTTTCAAAACTACCACAGAGGGCTATTTGGTCTTCTTCCTGCCCTTCTCTTTGTAACATGTCCCAAAGAGAATACAATTCATTTCCTATTAGACTAGAATGACTGACACGTGTGTGTTATTTCAATGGAGAGAAAGTTTCACTCCGATAAAACTACCAGGTCCATCATTACAGGTCAAGAGATGGTTGGAAAAACTTGATTTAATATCCTGCAGCAATTAACGGAGAACATGAACCAATCACATCAGTGCTAGACCGAGGAGATTGTAATCTAGTATCACTTCCACAGACTTCTACATACTGTAAAGGCCGATCTGGGTGGAAGCCGATCACCTAATAGCCTAGTTTGGCTAGGAAACTGGAGCAGCAGAAGGAAACCCATGCCAGCACAGGAAGAGAAAACCCCATTCACCTAATGTCCTTGGTGGGAATCAAACCCCCGGACATAAGCACTTTAATATTCTCATCATAGTGGCAAAGTACGGCGGATTCTATGGGGGTTTAATGGCTGCTCTTGGGTACATTAGCTGTTCTTTGTGGAAGCCTCTAGGGATCCTATCCTTTCAGGAAGAAAAGCAGAAAGGCTACACTGAGCGTGACACTTGTGGTTGGTGCTCGGACACATCACACAGCCACTGCGATACCTCCAAGTTGTAAAGAACAAAGCAGTTCCCACAAAGGTGGTCAAGTGGTATCTGGTTTTGGCAATTCCAGTACAAACCTGGATAGGACAGCTCACATCTGGCCCAAGTGGCCATCTCTAACACAGTCACTCGGTATATTCCCATCACACTCATCACTGGGATAAGCCTGGAGCAAGAGGGTGCGGTAGCAACATCCAGCTGGATAAAAGTGTAGATGGGAACACCTGTTGGCAGCACACCATGGAACCAGAACATATAGTTCAAATGTTTTTGCAACAATCAGTGCGAGTGCAATACTTCAAGGTCACAATATCAAGCATGTGATGACAAAGGGGGCTTGCATGGCTTTGAAATGTTGCACTTGCACCAATCCTGATTGCTTCAATAAACGTTTGGACTATAGGTTATGGTTCCATGGTGCGCTGGCAACATTTGTTCCCATCTCTAAGACAAAGCACACACAGGCTTACTCAGTAAGTGGCCGTTGCCACTACTGCCATGTGGTAGCCATTATTTTGCCAAAGCATGTGTGATGCAAAACAGCCCAATGCACTAAAATGCTACATGCACCTTTTTGGGCCACTTGGCAGCCCACTCCAATGAAATAGCTGCCTGCAGGCAACATGCATGTGCTAACAAGGTAAAATGCCTGCGCCGAAGACAGTGTAAAGATTAAACAAGATGTGCAAAGTGAACAGCAACCAACCAGAAATACCCCAGCAGAGCAGACGACTCTGCGCCCCAGCAGAGCAGACGACGCTGCACCCCAGCAGAGCAGACGACGCCGTAACCCAGCAGAGCAGACGACGCCGTAACCCAGCAGAGCAGACGACGCCGCAACCCAGCAGAGCAGACGACGCCGCAACCCAGCAGAGCAGACCTGAAACAAATAAGGGTTTTGTCTAGTACACACATCAATTTGTAGTTCATTGCATTGTTGGTTTTAGTCTACCCATCTCTGGTTACAGTTGACCTGTCCGATGGACCCTTGTAGTTGTATTGGTCCGTGATAAATTCAGATACATTCTTGAAGGCCGAGACCCTGCACAGAGTAACTGCAAAGCACCCTGTGGCTGCCAGGCTCCGGTGGAACAAGTCTGACCTCTGTATACACCAGACAGTGAATAGACTTTTTCCACCAAAGTTCAACAGCCAAGATGAACATTTTTGGACTAAGTATATCTAAAGGCAATTTTCTTGGGATAGACTGGAGAGGGATTAGACCATCAGCTTTTTCTTGCTGCCTGGGTCCTGGTTAGGAAGATTCATGGTCTCAAACTGTCCTGATCACCAATGTCCGCAGTAATGAAAAAATCTGGAGTTGCCACCAGAACAGGAATAGAGGGGAAATCTTCCAATGGGGACACAGATTCTGATGACAACAGATATATCTCACCTTGGAAAGTTATCCTTTTATTTCTTGTTGAGTCTACAGGACAGGAAGTGAACAGAAGTCTTCCTAATGAGGCACAAAAATGGACAGCGGTTTTTACCCCCCCATCTCTATCCAAAATGGGGGCAAAACAAGTTTTGCCTTTAGATATACTTTAAGAAAAAAAGAAAGATTGCACATAAAAGAAACTCTATAAAGTTCTAAAAACTTTCATGAAACAGATTATGGAATAAAAGACGTGTGTGGAAATTATTCCATGGAAATAGGGGAACATATGGTAAAATATGACAGAACTGCATTGAGTGGTCTCATGTGACTTGCCACAGTCTTCAGGCTTTAGAAGCGACAGAGGTAGATGGTGGGGCCTGGAATCGTGGAAGGTACAGTCCAAATTTGCTTTCGATTCCAGCAAAAGTGGCTACGGCAAGTTTATATCCTCCGACGTGGTCTGGGTTCGGGGCTGGCAATGTGATTCGGGATTTGGGAACCGGATCTGAACCAGGTCGCTTCCTGTAATTCAAATAGAAGTAAAGTTGTTATATCGCGAGAAGACGTGAACGGCAGCGACACAAACTTTTCTCGGAAGTTTTCTATCCTGCATTGGTGTCGGGAGCTTTCCTTGTGTAGTTACGAGAGCTCCGATCAGGCAAAGCTATGACACTTCCTGTGATAAAGTTTGGACACCCTCTGCCATTCCTACTGGTTAGTAAGGCAGCCCATCATAACTGCTGGTAGGGAGCGGACAAACTCTGACAGTTGTTGAGTGGGGGTGTCTGCACTTTATACCTCTCCGCACTTTTTTTTTTAACAGTCACGTGTACATGTTTACAGCAATTCATGTAAATGTAAAACTATCTATTTTGTTAGCTTTAGATTGAGTGGTGAGAGGTCAATTTTTTTTTTATTCCGGTGTCCCTGCTGCCGAGTTTCTCCCTCTATTTGTCCTGGTAACCATTATCCCTGGGACACAAAGTGAAGGGAGATCCTACATTTTGGGATTTCCCTCTAATTTGGGGAGAAGATTTCAAACCCTTATTAAGTTATGTTTGCACTGTCTGCATACAGCCTGGATACAGAGACGGTGCAGACAAGTTGCTGGGGAGATTTTCCTTCACTTCCCTTCTTGGGAACACAACAATAGGAGGAAGTCTCCCTAAATTGAGGTATACCCAAAATGTAGGATCACTTTCTGTTCCAGGGATAATAGTTGCCAGGACCATAGGGGGGGAACTCCACAGCAGGTACAACGTAAGGGGTTAATGTGCTTGATTTTACTACTGACCCCTCATCACTCTCAGGGAGGGGCAGAGTATCACCGTGATATGTATTTCCTCTCTGTAATGGATTCCTATAGCAGTGATCACCATCAAATGGCGGACATAACTAAACTCATCTTGGATAATGTAAACCAATAAAGCTTTAAGAAAGATGCTGGTTTATACTTGTGTGATGGACACTCATGACAATACAAAACATATATACACATATATACACTGAGTGGCCAGATTATTATGACCACCTGACGTTTGTAGGCAAATTAGTTATAATTTCGCGCTGAAGTTGCTAGAGGGCCAGACCATTATAAATAGGGAAGCAGGTTGTTTACCACGACAGTAGAAGTTATTTGTTTCTGAAGATACGGGGAAACAACGCGATTTAACAGCCTTTGAACGTGGGATGATTGTTGGCGCTCGGAGCCATGGAGCGAGTATCAGCAAAACAGCAGAATTCGTTAAATGTTCAAGAGCAGCTGTTGTTAAAGTGTTTAAAGACCGGACTGTCAGCCAAAAATCTGGGTCTGAACGTGCGAATTGTGGCCGTCAGCGACTAGTCAATGTTAGGGCAGAACGGAGAGTGGCAAGACTGGTACAAGACAACAGAAGGGCAACAGTGCATCATATTACTGCAGATCTTAATCAGGGATCCTCTCAAATGATCTCTGAACGCACTGTTCGCCGTACACTGCATCGTATGGGATATGGAAGACGAAGGCCTGTTCGAACACCTTTGCTGTCTGCAGTTAACAAGATAAAACGTCTCCAATTCGCACAGGAACACAAGGATTGGACAGTCGAGCATTGGAAAAAAGTCATGTGGTCCGATGAATCACGTTTCCAGTTGCATCATGCAGATGGCAGAGTGAGAATTTGGCGGGAACAGCATGAAAGCATGCACCCCACATGCATGAGTACAACCCGTCAAGCTGGCGGGGGCAGTGTTATGGTTTGGGACATGGTTTCCTGGCACGATTTGGGCCCTTTAATTCGTGTGGAACAATGTCTGAATAGTATATATATTACACACACACACACACACACACACACATACACACACACACTCTATCATACTGAAGACTTTACATTTCATCTATTATCTCATCTTTGTATACAGAAAAAATTCTTTAAGCTACAAATGTTAGTGGCTGCCATGATATGTTGTGTAACCGGCGAGGTAGAACGTAATTTAATAAATAAAAACAAAAATAAAAGTATGACACTTACACTCCACCAAAATCTACGTAGAGCCATCGCTGCAATAACTCGTATGTCACCAGCGTCACACCAAACTGCGGCGAGGACCTGAACACACGAGCTGCGGACAGGAAACTTGTTAGAATTCATCACAGAAAAGGAAAACGCACCCAAAGAATGTTACCGACCTCCCAATATACACAGACAGAACAAGAGACTTACCTCCAGCTCCCTTCCATAGTGCACGATGACCTTCCTCCTGCAGGATTTTTCTGAAACAGTCTATGACCCCCGTGTAGGTGGTCTGACCAGCCCGAGCAGCGACCTGCAGTCGAGTTTTGATGACATCAGCAGGAGTCACCAGAGATGCAGCCGGCATACCTGCAAAGAAATACATCATCCATAATGAGTCTGTTCATGATAAACTGACAACTACCATAGCGGGAGGAAGAATATGGAGTGATGCATGAAGCGCATGGCACTGTAAAGTGAACACAAGGTTTAAGAACCTGGCGAATATGGAGGAGAGCAAAACAAGAGGAGAGAGCCACAAGTCCTAAATGTGTTCAAGGGATGGGCAGAAGGGTCATATAAACCTGAATGGTGTGAACACCCCCCCTAGACAAGACCATGCAAAGAAGATTTCAGCTTCATGGCTTTAAATTGCATATAAACCTAAAATAAAACCCTCTTCATATAGTTTCTATGTTCCTCTAATATTTCAGCATTGTTCAATTATTGCTTTTAGTAATGCTAATACCTAATGAACACTGCCAGTGTCCTCTGATCACTTCCTCTCTCTTCCGGGTACCCCTAATCATGACTGCAGAGTTGTGATAACATTGTCAGCTTGCCTGCACTGCCATTGTCAGCCTGTGACATCACAAACTGCCCCGCCACTTGTATAGCCACGAGGGGAATGCAGCAAAGGATAATGGGTCTGTTTCCAATCACTGGCCAGATGCTGCATCCAGGACCAGGCTCCCACCCTTTGCTGAGCTAAGAGTCAGGACTTTTTGCAGTCATGTGACCGCTTACAGCTGAACTCTGCGATTAGCAAATATTGTCTAAATACAAGAGCTTTGTGTGTTTCTTCCTGATCTGTGCAGTAATCCAGTGTGACACTTGGAGCTTCCTGTAATAAAGATCGCTCACTGCTGCTCTCTCTCCTTGTGTAGGGTGACTGGTCTCGTCTCCGCCCCCTCCTGTAATAAAGACCGGTCACTGCTGCTCTCTCTCCATGTGCTGGGTGACTGGTCTTGTCTCCGCCCCCTCCTGTAATATAGTCCGGTCACTGCTGCTCTCTCTCCTTGTGCAGGGTGACTGGTATTGCATCAGCCCCCTCCTGTAATAAAGACCGCTCACTGCTGCTCTCTCTGCTTGTGCAGGGTGACTGATCTGGTCTCCACCCACTCCTGTAGTTTTCTGCAGGCAGCCTGTACTGGGTGGGGCCTACTGGGTCCCTCCCACAGCTCTGCTCTCTGCACAGTGATGATGTCCTGATGTCACTACTTTTATATGGTAAAATGTGGGCACACAAAGTGAACTTTTATTCTCTGTAGCTATTGGGGGATATATCTGAATGAAAGTTTTTGTACCTGAAGTTGAGCTTTAAAAAACCCTTCAAAAACACTTTTATAATGTCTTTCTTGCATACACTGCTGTACAAAATGCTAATTGCATGATTGGCTGCTCCAGCATTATTTATTTCCTTCACAGATACTTTAGACATATAAGAATAATGGAGTAAATCATTATTCACTTGAGTGCTTGTTCTCTGAAACTACATTAGAGTTACGTGATTACAGCAAACTGTGCTTCTGCTCGAAGGCTAATAAGGGCGACAGAGGTCTTCAAAACCCGATTGACCTCATGTTTCCCTGGCAGGAAATTATCTCATGGTGAAACGTGTGCCATCATCCCCTGAGGTTTTCTGTAAAACCCCTAAATTACAGACTATGAGGAATATGGAGAGGACTTCCATATCCGCCCCATTACAAAAACCAAAAGGAAAAAACTTGATATGGGATGTTGGAAGGGCTCCAGACCACCCCTCTCCATGTAATGAATGTCACGTTAAATGGGAATAAGAACATTAAAGTTGTTCCCCAGGAAAGAGTTAAAGTCTTCCCACTCACAGAGGAAGCCTGCTAAGTCACTCGCAGCTCAATAAAGACCAACTCCAGCCAAAATGTAATCTAGTTCTGGAGAGCGTGCCACATTTTTACTGCTATCTGTATCCTTATTGGGATGGCTTGACATCAATAGAGATGGGAAAAAATTGTGCCAGGGTTTTATTGTTGCATGGGTCTGAACCTTTTCCTATCATAGGACAGGGAGGAGGAGTGGTTTAAAAGAGGTGTGAAGAGGCCATTTATGTAAAAATGGAGAAGCCAAGCTTGAATAGAGGTGGTGGTGGGGGGTGAGACATCTATTGTCTCTCTGGGCAGGTTATTAACACCTCCTAGACTCCAATTATGCAAATGAAATCAACACATGGTTGTGACTAACAGATTATGTGGATTGGAGCAACATTCACCATATTTATTCCCAGATAAATTTTGTACAAGTCATTCTGAATTGAGAAAGCTGGTCGGATGACCTGTGAAACGTCTTCAAGAAAAATACTCAAGTCCAGTTGCCTTGACTTATTTTTTACAGATTTTCCTATCATACTAAATTATTCTGAGTTGTTATGGTCTTCTTGAGGTTGAGATGAGATTTCCCATCGCTCAATGGAAAAAATTAAACTTGACTGTGATATCTAGAGCAGTGGTTCTCAACCTGTGTAACCTCAGGACCCACATTTGTCCTCTGTCATAAAGTCACAACCCAAGTTGCACTACAATGGAACACACGGTAGTGTGGGCTGCTGTGCTGCGAGGGAGCTTCATCCATATGTGCATTGCTTGTACAGCTCCCATGCATGCCCTGTAGAGGTGCCGGGAGCCAGAATGTGATGTCACTCCAGCCCAGGCACCACTATAGGACACATGAGGAAGATATAAGCAATGCATGTATGTATGGATCTCCCTCGCGGCCATACCCCCAGCCCAGCTCACCTCAAGTTGACACTCAGCACTGGGTAGCATATTTCTAATGGCTGCTTGGTGTAAGAATGGAAGGTGCTCCGCTAGGGGAAGGCTGAAGAGCCTCTAAACTAGAAAAGTGGAAGGCATGCGGCGACCCACTACACATGGGGTCGCGACCCACTTTTGGGTCACGACCCACCAGTTGAGAACCAAGGATCTAGGGAAATGAAGGTAGGCATCATTTCAGACACATTAACCTAATTGTCTACAACATCACGGTGCAGTAACCATCAGCAATCAATTCTTTACAGGCATTGTAAACCCCCCAGCACATCATGCTGTTTGCACTGCAACTAATCCAAGGACATTGGACCAACATCTACACAACAGAATCACTAGACATGGCTCTCCACTTACAAAGCTATAATGTGAAAAAAGAAAATACTGAAATCAAATATTCCAAAAACCTCTATCCCTACTGAACATCAAACCTACAAGTATATTCCGTTCCCGATCCAACCAGCAACCACTCTTTTCCTTTAACCTAATATTCTCAATACACTCAGAACATCCACACACTCTCTCTCCCTTTAGGCCTAGTCTGATGGGGTTACCAATTATCTAGTCGCTGTGCAGTTTTGCTGTGGGTGGAAACCTAAAGAACCAAGAGGTTACCCACACGAACATTGACAAAACAGAAGATCAAAAATGAATGGTGTCCACAGTGGAATTTGAATCCAGGACCGCAGCACTGCAAGACAAAAGTCCTAAGATAGCACTCACCATCCTATTCCAAACTATAAACATTAATGGTGATCGACTCCTCCTCCCCTCACCTAGCAGCTATTGTAGCCTCCTGATGTTGAATGAGAAGACCTGGCATGCAACTGGCATTTCAATCCATCCCAAAGGTGTTCAGTAGGGTTGAGGTCAGGGCTCTGTGCAGGACACTCCAGTTTCGTCACACCAAATGCCTCCAACCATGTCTTTATGGAGCTGGCTTTGTGCACTGGGTCACAGTCATGCTGGAACAGGAAGGGACCTTCCCCAAACTGTTACTACAAGGTTGAAAGCACACAATTGTTTAAAACCTTGGTTCTCAACTGGTGGGTCGTAACCCAAAGGTGGTTCGCGACCCCATGTTCAGTGGGTCACGGCATACCTTCCACTTTTCTAGGTGAGAGGCTTCTCAGCCTTCCCCTAGCGTAGCACCGTCCATTCTTACATCGAGCAGCCATTCAAAATATGCTGCCCTTTGTCGAGTGTCGACTTGAGGTGGGGTGGGCTGGGGGTATGGCCACGAGGGAGATTCATCCATACATGCATTGCTTATAGCTCCCTCCCATGTCCTGTAGAGGTGCCTGGACTGGAGTGACATCACATTCTGGCTCCAGGCACCTCTACGGGGCATGCATGGGAGCTGTACAAGCAATGCACATATGGATGGAACTCCATCACAGCACAGCAGCCCACACTACCGTGCGTTCCTTTGCAGTGCAACTTGGGTCACGACTTAATGACCAAGTACAAATGTGGGCCCTGAGGTTACACAGGTTGAGAACCACTGGTTTAAAATGTATTTGTATGATGTAACATTAACAGTACCCTTCAGTGGAAACACCTGAACTCAATCATTTGGGTGACAGGCCACCTACGTTTGGCCATAGTGTGTATTAAAACTGTAGCAGCGCTAGAAAAGTCATCATGTATGATATCCAGAGATTCTTTGGGAAAGGCATAACACCACATACAATAAAAACTACTCTGGGACAAGTCCTGCCCCTTCTGTGCCACTAAGCCAAATCCCTATAGCTGCCAATATCCTCATACAGGATACAGAAAATACAGTCTGCTCCCGCTATCACCCACTGCAACCTCACCCACATAACAGAGCAGGTGCACTGCACAGAAAAAGATGACAGGAAGCTGTAATCCCGCTCAGAAACCTTAGGATCCCCCCTGGGATTACAGATAAAATGAATTAGGGGAAATAAACTGGATTTTCTGACGTCAGCAGAGTTGCAACGGTTCCTGGTCAGCGCTCGCAGTTCACCGATCTGCCTGAAGTCGCCCTTTAAATGTTGGAAGGGAGAATGGAGTTTGAGAAAATTGCTAACATGTCTGATGATTGAATTCAGATTTCTGGAGGTGAAAGCTCCTCTGCTTGTGCTTTTTTCACGCCTCTGTGGCTACTGGCACAGAACACACATGGAGCTGAAAAGCAAAAAAGAGACTTCAACCTCACCACCGCCGCTGCTGCTGCTGCCGCCACTTAGCCACAGGCGCGCGCAAGGAGAACCAGCTGCCACCACCTCAAATAACCCCAGGAAAACTCTGCGTCCCTTTCTC